TAACAACGGCTAACAGATAAATGTCAAAAAAACTTAAACGTACAAAACTTTAATTGGACTAAAGGCGATAAAAAGAAATATGTCTATCCTTCCTCGCGCGTTAAGTCCCTTACAGTCTGGACAAGGAAAGCAGAGTTCCGAAAGACTTTTTCATAATATACAAGCTTATGCCAGAAACTTCGTACACGTGGATTGGAAGCCGGTAACCTACATACATACGTAGGACTGTCACTCAAGAACTTTTCTTCACTATATTATCAGATGTTCGAGTAGTGTGGCTACATTTTAACTCGTTTTTAGGACTGAACACAACCCGATATCATATAAAGCAATAAATGAATGAATTATTTTGCCCGTAAATTTCATTCATTCATAAAATATTACCTACCTGAATTTATTGCCAATGTTTTGACGTGAATTGCACCGCGTCGTGGTTATGGCAGGACAATGAAACATCGGCAATAAAATTGGATATGTAACTTCCGAAAATCAATTTTAATATTGCCTGTGAAAGCAGTCAGGAATGGTAATGCATGAGGAGCTCCATAGAACTCATGGAATGAACTACAGGAGCATGAATATTACAGAATGACTCCCACGCATTCTGTTATATTCATGGCTCTGTTTATTTCTGTCATCCTGTTATCTGTAATATTATTAGTCCTGTTTATATCCGTAGGTGACGGTCACCACTTTCCATTCAAATTCGCTGTCAGCTGATTTGCCCTTGCAAAATGGATACAAAAATATATGTAAAAAGTTAAAAGTTAGCCGCCTTGTGTCGCTTTAGTCTTTGCATCATCATCATATTAGCCGTTAACCATCCACTGCTGAATACAGGTCTTCCCCATAAGGGGATTTTGCCAATAGTTGCCACGATTAGTAGGCGGGTTGGCAACTATAGTTAGGCTTTGATGACATTTAAGAGGGACGCTACTCACTATCTCTTAACCATTAAATTCCCTTAGTCGCCTCTTACGACATTCACAAAAAAGGGTGAACCCGTTCTATGGTGAGACCACACCTCTTCTTTGAATATACTATATTTATTCGTATAGAACTATCAATAAATCTTACATTCGAACTATAATTTCCAAATGAAGTACGGGGATATGAATAAAATATTAAAGACTAGAGAACAATCGTTATTGTACAGCTTAATTGTATTTATAACTAATTATTTTTCAGAAATACACTTCGACACAAAATATTCAAGCACATATTACCATCAATCATTCTTTATATCGGTTTCGACCTTCGATGTATCGAAATGACTATTCGATAACTCGTAAATCGACATCGATACAACCTATATACAAACTAGAGACTGAATATTTGAGTGGAAATGAAATTACAATCGATTCAATAAAGCGCTTTTCACACAGCTTATCCGGATCCCGCCAATGCTCGGAAAACACTGACAGGTTTTTAAACCAAACGGGGAAGAAACCGTTTACGTACATTTACAACCATCAACCAAATAAATATAACTATTACATTATCAAGGACTTAAGCCCATGATGTTATATGTGATAATTTGATATAACAATCTGTGACGATCCTATATCTACGTCACATTGATAGAATTTCAGTTTTATATTCCACTCTTTAGACCAAAATCTAACCAAAGTTACACAGCAGTACAAACACAATTGAAGTATGTATTCTTGAGTCGATTTATTCGTAATTATTTAAATCGATAATTGATTAAACGTCGAGTTTTTAACACAGATAAAAAGGAATCGTGCTAATGTAATATATTATTATAAATTACATGTTATATATTTTTGTTATTAACGATATGTTTACAATCACAATAGGTATATACACAAAAAAAGCCAGAGAGCCAAACACTCATTCTTTACGAAATATTCAGCCCGGATGGTCCAAAGCTCAGAAACCAGTGCTGTGTGAATAGCGCTTTATAGTTAGTACATTTTTTAATACAAACTTATAATAGCCTTGGTGAAACTATAAATATAAAATAATTACCGTGTCTTTGGATTAGAAATGCGATAAATAAGGAGCAACTGTTTGAATTCTTTATTGCACTGCTTAATTTTGGATCAAATTGTATGCGATACTTACTGCCATGAAGCAGATGTACTTGCGTGGTTGTGTTTCGGTTTGAGGGAAGGAATTTTTTGTATTTAATAAATAAATAAATAAAAAATATGCCAGTAAAATTGCAGAATACGGCATAGCATTGTAGTTTTCAGAAGGTCTACCAAGAATTTTTTTCCAAAATTTTGGGTCCGAACGAAATGTAAATTTGATGTTAAAATTACATGATATATACTGATTAAAAATATCAAAAATGCTAATATATCATTCCTTTGGACTTTTATAGTAGGGTTTATGTCAAACGATAGCTTTCTTTCCTTAGTCGATTTAATTATGAACAAAAACACGAATCTGAGTCCGAAAATTCGGAATATCATTTCATGGTAAACCCCCAGGAATGGCGACATATGAGAGGTGCCACGGGCGAATATTACATAATATACTATTATATATTATGTAATATTCGGAGTTCTTTTCATGTTTATAAGCGACTGTTGCCGCTTTTCATCGGGTACTTACTTGTCAATCTAAGTATAAAAAAAAATTATTCAAGAGTTTGTAATGTCCTGCCTCCGTAATTTAAAATTTCACCTACAAATAGAAATTATTAGTAAGTTATGATCTAATTAAAAAATCATTATATTTGTTATTTTAATGTAAAAAGGATAACGTATAAAGGAAACTTTAATACATAACTACATAACTTCTAATACGTAACTATACAAGCAGATTTTATTATGCAAAATGTAACAATATAAAATTTAGCAAATAATTTATTTTAATTTTATAACATACACAAACTGTACCGTTGAATTACAATATATTATTCGATTTAAAATATTTGAATTCAAAATGTCGATTCTTAATCTAACAATAGATCTATCTATCAGTAGATTTTGCTTCACAACAAGTAGTTTTCTGTCCGGCAAAGAAAAATGACAACTTCAGTTATCACAAATTGACTAAAGTCTATCGAAAACAAAATAAATAATCGAAATATGTCCTCAATTCACACAGAAAAAAAATACAATCGAATTAAGTACTGTGTCCTTTTGAGAATATAATAAAGCAATGACTGTCTCTGAAGACTAATAAATTTACTGTTTGGCAAGATTTAACACATAAGTATTAATACAATCAGCAAGAAGAATAAATAAAATATTTTCCAAATATTTAGAAACCACTAGCCTTTGAATACTAGGTAATTAGTATAAGAGTAACACGCATTTCTACAGTAACGCCCAAGTAATTTCCTATTCAGACAAAAGGTCGCGGTTCTTGAAAGGATGAACTTGGGCCTGTTAATGAAAATTTAATTATATTAAGTGTAAACGAGCATGTAACAATTTACAGTTCAGCTACAAATATAAATATCGCTTATGGAACGAACAATTTAAGAGAGAAAATTCGATAACGGTTTTGTTATACTCGTATAATATTAGTTTTCAAATATATACTGATTTAATAATGTATAGCACTATACATTTTTTCTAAAAAACTTTATTTTCTATGGGGTTCCATGATACGATGTTACTCCAATGCTGTGTAATAATTATATATATTATAATTGATTAGTGTTAAAAGTATATCTTATTCTAAATGTTAATAGTTATAGCACGTTAGCTGCCCGCTAACGACATGCTTTCTAACTGTATTAAGTTGACTGGAAGAGATCTCTGTCAGAGATAAGTCCACCCTTGCGCACAACATTTGTAAATGCATTAACAATGTAATTTGCAAGTGCCATAAAGAATATATACAATAGTATCCTCAGGTGTACCACAAAATTCCATTTTGGGACCAATGTACATATTTTAATACTTGAGAAATACATAATATAATTGATAATCAAGTTATATAATTATTTTATAAAGTAACCGATATAGCCCGAAGGATAAGCAAATTGAAGTGGCAATAAGCTGGTAACGTAGCCCGAAGAATCGATAACTGATGGGGAAGAAAGATTCTTGAGTGGCGACGCCGTACGGGCAAATGCAATATAAAACGACTAGATAGAGTGAGTCCATTGTTTCTACCTACCCTAATGGGAGACAGGCGTGACAGATATGTATGTATGTATGTAGATGGAGTGATGCCAGAAATGCATTGCAGGGAGTCAATGGATGCAGGTGGTTAAGGATATCTATATGGCAGTCTATGGAATAGACTTATATCCAGTAGTGGACGAATAATGACTGAAATGATGATGATGATAATTATTTTGCTTATTGTATTTAAAAACATATGTCTACCCTATATAATCGTAAGCCTGTTATTAATATTAATAAAAAGCTAATATTTTATACAACGAGGGTAATAAACCAGCATAACAATATGACCCACCCGATTGTAAATGTATTCAGACTACAGACGCTGCAACATTCGCATATTGGCAATCCTTATAATATGAAAATCTTGAGTTACATTACGCAGTAATTCTTACCTTTCGGGGTAGTACATAGTTGCTCCAGAAGATAAGGTGAATTTGTACACAGTTTTCTTCGAATAAATTCTCTGAAATTAGTCGTGTAGTCCCCGGCATAGAATAGGCTACCCCTTCTTTTTCCGTGGATGTCGTAAGAGACAACTAAGGGAGGGTGAGGGATGGGCAGCGTCTCTATTAAAACATCTCCAAAGCTTAACCACGTTTGTCTATTCACTTGCCAAGCGTGGCAACTATTGGTAAAAATCCTCAAGGGGGAGGCTTATGTCCAGCAGTGGACAACTAAAGGCTGATATGATGATGTTGAAATTCTCTGAAATTAGTTTAGAATGATCTTTTAAATAGCATTATATTTCTACCACTACAGTGAGTTACCTTTTAATATTATCACAATTGAATGTTAACCACATTTTAGTTCCTTTTGTTTTAGCTAAGTAAAATACCGAAATTATTCTTCTTTCGAAATATTAAAATATATTTTCTATTGTTTCAGAATGGTGTGTCGACGCGAAGTAATCTCAATAGAACATCTCAGATAGCTAGTGCATCTAACTAATAAATGTGCAAAGAAAAATGACTATAAACTTAAGTGAGTCCAAAAAAATTATAATACCAATGTGACACTTACACCGCATAGTGCCAAAACAATGTTTTGCTGTAAAGAACTAAAACTACTGTACGCTACCGTTGTTCTTTTACTTGAAGCTGAGTTACTAGTGAATACAGGTGCTATGGAATCAAAAAGGTCTTCCATATTAGTTGCACAGAACGCAGATGATTTGAAATCATTGGAACTGTGTACGTCCCGAAACCAACAGCGGTTAGGGAGTGTCTTTGGAAACTTTACCAGACATCACAAGAAAGGTAAATTTATATTAATACTACTATTATCGTTTATCATATCATTGTCATCATCATCATCTTATGTTGAGTATTCAATTCGTAAAAAGTTTTACATTTCATCCACTAAGTGTTTGATAATATTAATATATTTTCTAATGTTAGAATTCCTTAAAGAATCTCCGTAAAGAGTTTTATTTAGGTAAGAAGATTCCAAGAACAATATTTAAAAAAACAATTCTGCTTATGACAAAATTATGTATATTAGAATACATCTCAACACGTTCCGGTAAGCAGTGCTAGTGAATGTCAAACGTAAGATTTGTGTTATAGCACAACGTCCCTCCACGTCATTCGAAAATATTGTCTTCCAAGCAAAGTCTTAGGAAACGTCGTTTGGCCGTAAAACTCTTGGAGTATACAGTTTCTGTACTACAACATGCCAATTTTTGAAATCACTAATGCCACACTAATTCGGTTTTAAACCGAGTATACATGCCGGAATGTGTTAATAATATGAGCAAACAAAATAAAAATAACAATTTATATTTCATTTACAGATAAACAAATTATAAAATTATACTTTTAGTGTAGGTTGTGTACTGTCAGTCATAGAAACAATATGTAATAACTTAGTCTGGTAAATTTAATATTTCGTATACCTATACAATTTTCTTAACAGAAAACTAAGCAACATAACAAAATAATAACTTCTACTAACTTCGAGCAACATTATTATACCACAATCAATTAATTGAATTTCTCCCAACTCCTCGGAATAAATAATGGTTTCATTATCCCTCTATGATACCTACCATATTCATTTTAATACCTCTAATGGAAAATAATTGTACAAGTTATATTATAAATTTGACATTAATACATTACTAATGACTTAAATGTTACATTTTAACAATGCCACTAACCAAATACAGATAATGAATTTAATAACTTGCGGATTAAATGTATTCACAACATTATATTATGAACGTAGGTTTTAATAAGAAACTGATTCTGTGTATCATAACTATTCCCAAATATATACAATTTTAATTTAATTTATAAAACAGGCTATTCTTGGAGTTTACATTTTTATAAACGAACTTAACGAAGATCAATTAATAACTTGTTATATATTTAATCTGTACTAAAACAAGATATTTATTTTTATATAACCTTTATTAAAAATTAATTTAATTATTATGATGTACAAAAATATATCACAAAATGAAATTATTTAAATTACAATATTTATTTATTCAAGGTTATAATTTTGTTATGAAAGATACAGTTATATTAATCATTTACAGGTCACAGAAGAAGAACAACAACTACCACAACTCAAACTACAATAACTTACACAACAAACGATAATGATGAAGAAACGACTGAGCCATACAAATTAACAACAGATAATGTATTGAACACTGAATCATATCCGAAATTACCAAAACCTTTAAGATTGTCATCGTCAGTATTAGATAAAGATTACAGTGAAGATGTACATAATATAGATAATATAATACAAGAAGAAGTTAATCAACTAATAGATAGAGAAAGGCATCATATGAAATATGATAGAATATATGATAATAAAGAATCATTCAATGAACTGGATGAGCAAGCATTATCTAAGTCTTTAAATAAGGTTAAAAAAATGTACAGAGATTCAACAGCTTTTTCTGTTAACAAAGTAAATGGGAAAGGTGGAAAAAATGGAATATTTTTAACTGAAAATTGTACTACAGTTATAGCTCAAATTGGAACGACAGCTATATTACACTGTGAAGTTAGCGATATTACTGAAAACACGGTGAGTAAATCGGAGAATAATGATCAAGATTTAATATTTAATCTTTTTGTTTTTTTAAAGGTTACTAACCATTATGGTAAACGGTCAGAGAGACATGAAAATCAATTAATATACAGTAAATATAAAGTATCAAATGTTAAAAGAATTTAATACTTATTTACCTAGAAATTCTTGGTTTTATATTAATTTCATCATAATTGTAGTCAGTTTTTTTTAAAACATCTTAAATAATATTTATTAGTAATTATTTTATATAATACAATATTGATGACAATTTACATAATTACGGCTCACCTGCCGTCCTGTGGTCACGGCAGAGAATTCTTTTCTTTCTTTTTATTTTTTTTAAGAAGAATTCTTTTTCCGTGGGTGTTGTAAGGCAATTTAATGGTTGAGAGATGGACAGTAGAGTCCCTCTTAAAATATCACCAAAGCCTTATTGCTGTTGCCACCCGGCTTGCTAAGCGTGACAGATATTGGCAAAACTTTCCTTATGAAGAAGGCTATGTTCAGCAATAGACATGGCTTCTGTTTATTATAAAACAATAACGAACACAAAAATGTTCTTCCAAAATCTGCCACTATTCTTGGAAGAATATTTAGAATATATTACATCACCAAAGCTTTACTGCTGTTGCCATCCCGCCTGTCAAGCGTGGCAACCACTGGCAAAACTCCCCTTATGGGGGAGGCTATATTTAGCAGTGGACAGTTAACGGCCGATATAATAATAATGGTCAACCTGATGATAACCAGATATAGGATTATCTAAGAGTTTGCTACACTAGAAGAATTATTGCAATGGTGACTCTTGTATCATGAAAATCTTGAGTTAATAATTCGACTGCAATTTTATCTTGCAAATCATTCATGTATAATCATATAATCATAGAATTCATGTGTGAAACAGCAATGCTCACAATGAAAGAAAGCATATCTATATATACTTACTGCCTTCTCTATAAGGTATAAATCTTATTAATACCTATAATAAAATGGTAACTGAACGACGTCTGTACATGGAAGATATTTAAAAAAAATTTAAAGGATTTTAATAGTACAAATAAAAGCATAAACAATAAATTTTGTCTCTCTGTCTGTTTCCTTGTTGTATGTTTGTTTAGACATCATGCAATTTGAATTTGGTTTTGAGTGCCGTATTTCTGAATTTGAAAATTAGTGTATGTTTTATTTTGATATAACAACTAAAAGTAGTTAGTAAATTTCATTACTAATTTTCCTTATTTTGCAATCCACGCGTACAAAGTATCAGGAAAAAAAAAGTTATAATAATGTATATCTAAAGTAAAGTTATAATAATGTGTATATTTATACAGATTTTTCATAAAATATTTAATTATATCAAAGCCTTTGAAGATTTTAATTTAAAGTCAATTTCAGGTAACGTGGATCAGGAAGAAAGATTATTCCCTGCTCTCAGTGGGTCTCGTGACGTACAGTGCCGATAGCAGATTTTTCTCAGCTCACGGGAGACACGTCAAGGTAAATAGAATATATTTTTTTTATATATTATTTTACTAACATAAAGAAATTGTAACTAGATGGTGTCTGTATGTAGAATTAAAAAGCCATAACAGTAATTTTTAATTTCTGTCTTGCTTTTCTGTGTGTTTTTTCGACATTAAGCAAAAATGACCGCACAAAGAGAACGTGGTTTTTACAGTTATTTTTATTTTCTTTATTTGGAATAACAAACAGTTATCTACTGGTAAATAAAAAACTATACATATATAACCAGACGATCTAAAAATATATTAAAATTTTTAAAGTTACAGAAAATAAATATTATAATTCTTATAATAGTATAAATAATATTATAATAGTTTTTTAATGGATAATAATAGAATGGTTATCTCACCTGCACTAACGGTATATGCTGATGGGGCGCCAATGAGAGACGATAGGTGAGAATGAAAAGGCACGTCAGTTAGCCCATCGTAATGAATATATTTAGAATTCAGCACGATGGTTTCCAGGTAGTTTCAACTACGTGGAGGTCGACCTGACAGGGTTATACTGCTAACAATGGGACTGGTACTCTGCATTATTAACAATCCCTTTCCACATTATAACTACAGTATACACATACACATAATAGGAGTATATAAAAGTATATCTTTATATACTCAAACATTAGAAAAAATTAGTACAAAAATTGTTTAAATATGAAGTTGACGAAAAATAAATTTTAAATGGGTGCTTTTAAAGTCGCAAATAGACGTTTCTTAAATTTTGCTATTGTGAAACAAAAAATATCTACACCAGTTGTTTTACTGAAGGCATTATTAACTTAATGTATATTTCATTTTGATGAGTCATATTGCGGCAAATACTAGTCATGTAGAAATAATGTAATAATTGTTTTCCTACATTACTAAAATGAGATGTATTTGAACAAGAGCATATAATTTGAATAGGAAAATACAAGAAGAGGCAATGTTATATCTGCACACACAATTATACATAAATGTCTTAGTATGTTATTTTGCTCTGCTATCATATTTACTGCTTGAGGCATTACCTGAAATGAAGACTTTACGTTCTAATTACTTCAAATTTTATTTTTTTAAATCTATTTGTATTTGTAATAAAATACCTACTTACTTATTTGTGTAAAACGAAACGTCACTGTAAACAATTATGAGCGATATTTTGATAGTTTTTAAATAGAGAATAAGTGGTTTTTTCATAACTGAAGTCGACCTTTTTAGAACACAAAATATTTTCTTAAATTACTCCTATATAAAGACATGGTTTTATTATAATCTAATAACTACTTGTTTAACTTACGTAAAATTTGGTAGAAAAAACTCGACTAGTTTCGGGCTCATTCGGGACCCTTAGTCTTGAGAAGTTGTGGTGCGATGTGTAAGTTAAACCGGTAGTTATTACATTAAAATATAGTATGTACTTACAAGATATCGTTCGATTAGTAAAATAAAATCAAATATTTAAAAATTGACTGTTCAAGGGTAACATGTTTCTATATGACATAGTAATTTAATTTACTTTTCTCTTTTGTTGATATTATAGTATATGAAAGTATAGACATAGATAAATAACGATAGACATATTTCACACCGCCATCTAGTTGCAAACTAAGCAAAGCTTGTACTATGGGTACTATACAACTATATACATTACTAATGATCTGTCCCGGATTCGTACGGCTAAATAAAGTTTTCAAAAATAATATATAACCTATTTTAATCGCTGATAATGTATCTTTCTATAGACGAGATAATTTTTAAAATTTGTTGAGCAGTTTTACAGTTTATCCAATCATACAAAAAATCAAATCTTTCCTTTTTATAATATTAGAATTATATATTTATATACATAGAAAGTACTCTGATCTATAAATGTATAAATACTACAGATGTTAATAGGTAGTAATAAATTTGCAATCGAAGTTGAAATAAATGGCTTTCAGATGACACGCTATTTTAATCCCATTTATAAACTGAACAGAATTTGTTAGGAAATTTGCCTTTGATTCTGAACTGTCTGGACGCCGATTTATTTTTGTTTGTTCACTTTGTGCTTCGATACGAAATTGTCTGTACTATTTGCTATTTTTATTTGTCCATTTTATCATACGTGCGTATGTTTAAAATAAAATGGCTGAAAGGATTTAGTCGCAATTTAATAGTTGAATGAGTTTAGTAAACTTTTTATAAATAAAAACAATTACAAGAAAATATTACACTGAGAAAACAATGAGCGGTCTTATTGCTAAGAGCGATCTCTTCCAGGCAAACTTTGGATGGAGAAGAGTATAAACAGCGTGTATACGAGTATAATAATTTCCTTTCCTTTCCCGTGAAGTCGTAATAGATGATTAAGGGAATTTAAAAGTCAAGGGATGGGCATCAGCGTCCCTCTTAAAACATCAACAACTGCGGTTGCCAACCCGTCTGTGCAGCAACTGTTGGTAAAACCTCCCAATTTATACGAGAAGCCTATGTTGAGCATTGAACAAATAACGACTGATACGATAATGATGATATTAATATTTGATAATATAGTTTAATATCAACAATAATGAATATCTGCTACCTATTTACTTAATTTCTTAACAAACCGCCTGCCAATGTATGGGATAAAAGATGATATTAGATTTTTGTTTTGTTTTGAATTTTATAATAAAAAGTAAAATAATTGTACTTTTTCTGTCGCTACAGGACTGGGCCTTGCATATACGATTTGCAACATCTGCTGATGCTGGATATTACGAATGTCAAGTCCCAACACATCCACCCACTAGTATTTTCTTCAAACTCGTACTTGTTGGTATGTATTTAATGTAACATCTTATTTAATTTTAAAATCTCTTTATTAAAATTATGACATTAATTCTATGTGTTAATTCAACAACAAATATTATAGTTGTGAAAGTTTATAAAGTGGTTTTAATATTTGTTTTTCAATCATGCTTAATTGTAATGTTAACGTAAATGAATGAAGGTTCGTTTACAGATACACGTATGTAGTCTTTATCTTAGATTAATACGTTTTATTCGAATTAAAATGAACAAAGCCACTGTACGTAACTAAAATACAATAAATGTGAGAGTTTATGATATCTTTAAGTGTCAATCACATTTCTTTTGTTGGATGGATTTTAAAAAAAATAACAGCATTAATTTATGTCGAATAATATATATATATATATATATATATATATATATATATATATATATATATATATATATATATATATATATATATATATATATATATATATATATATATATATATATATATATATATATATATATATATATATATATATATATATATATATATATATATATATATATATGTATGTATGTTTGTATGTATGTATATGTGTGTACGTAATATTATTGAAGTGGCACCTATTTTAACATTCGGTAATATCTACATTAAAATAATTAATGTCATACTTTTTAAAATCTTACTGTAAACTATTTATTTATCTTTGAAATAATTTTTCCTAATATAATTGTAGTATTCTATCAGATTATAAAAAAAACATAAAATAAGAAATAGAAGCAAAAACAAAAAAAAATATCATATTAAGAAAATAAAGGATGACCTTACCGCTAAATGTCACATCCAGGTAACTTTACAGAGCCGTAATTCACAGAAGTAAAATATTAATTTATTTTCACAGCGGCATACGCAGAAATAGTGGGGGAATCAGAGAAGATAATACACGAAGGCTCTATGTTGAGGCTAATCTGTATAGTGAAGAGATCTACTGAGCCGCCCTCGTACGTGTTCTGGTACTTTGAAAACAGGATGATCAACTACGACTTGAGTAAGTAACAATTAAAGATTATGCCCCATAAACTTCAATTATGGCGAAATCAGTTATTTGGATCTAAAAATTAAACTAATAAACCGATTTTGATAAAATTTCTATGGGACTAAACTGTAAGTACATCCTTTCAGTTAAAAAAGAATTTTACAAATTGGTTTATAAATATCGAAGTTATGAGGTAACAAACGTTAAAAAAATATATACGAATTGAGAACTCTCTTAGGTTGGTCCTATAAAAAATCACCAAAATCGGATCAGCAGTTTGGTTTTTATATCAAAGTAATTGTTTCACTAGGACTTAAGTCGATGTTTCTTTTGTATAGATAAATCTACTGCCTATCACACGTAATTGTACATCATATCACTTCTATTGGGTTTATATGATGTGATGTGATATGATTTATCATTATATAGTTATTGGATTATTAGTAACAATCATAATACTCGTAATATTAGTTATTATTCTCGAGAATTAAGTTTAAAATACGGCTATGAATAGGGCATAGTATATACTGTGTTGTTTGTGGTAGATATTAATTATGTTTTTATTTGATCATTATCATTTTGCATCAGACGTGCTATTAAATTTATTACTGCAATAATTGCTGATTTAAATTACGTATAATAACTTCGAGGAAGCTCAACTAGTTTCGCAATCAATTCGGGACCTTTAATCGTGAGCGGCTGAGTTGCTAGCGCAAACTTGATTTAAAAAGTAAGTTAGTAAACACACATTAAAATGTAACGTGAACGAACGAAACTTTTAACAATAATATTTACGGTTATTACAAATTGCATAAAAAGAGACGAATCAGGTGCTAAAAAATATAAACAAAATCATGGATTTACCTTGTTTCTAAAGAATGTAGATTTATTTTCCAACACAATACAGTCTATTGTATTTTACGTATTATAATCTGTGAATGAAATCTGCATTGCAACTGTTCCAAATATACGACAGTGTAATGAACGTATGGAGATGCAACTTTGTGAAATTTCGCGTTATTCTAGCAAACTCACAATAGTCCGTTATGATGTTAGTGCATAATTGTGTCAACTTGAGACGACAGTTTTGGATTATTCATTATATGAAACTGTCAGGTGTGACAGTATAAATCCTTGCTAATATTACCGTGTGAGTTTGTTTGTTTATTACCTCTTAACGGGGAAAGGGGATTGTTGGTAATGGAAATCTAATAGTTTTATCAGAGCCCTGACAATATGTTCCATCAAATCAATTTCCACGTACGCCTACCTTTCCCTTAAAAATTATTTTGGTTATTTTTTTGCAAAATCGTCACTATGGGCCAACTGACCTGTTTCATCTAGGGAAAACGGATTATTAGTAATGGGTTCTAACAACCCCATTGCTAGCTATATACTCTGTCTGGTCGAACTTCACGCGGTTCCCTTAGGAATCATCGTAGTTAATTCTTGTTGAATTCTTAACGATTGGACAACTGACCTACCTCTCGGCTATCATTTCTCACTGGTGCCTCACCAGCGTATACCGATAGCGCAAACGATATTCCATTATTATCTAAAAAAAACTGCTTCATCTTCATTTATCGTCCCTTATCTTACTGGTGCTCCGCACTTATTTTCTCAAATAATAGAGATCGAATCCGTGTTGGTTTTTTACAAAATTTATATTGTTTTTTGGAAAGTGAAATCTTTAACTAACTTTTATATGTGACTTTATCCTCGCTGAATCTAATATTTCCTCCTTCCTTGCAAGAATTTTCCCAATTTTTTATGTTTAATTACATTATACAGAGACAATCTCTGAGCAAAATTTCGTAATTCAAAACCAGCTGTCCGCGCGTTCAAACTAGCCGTTACACGACTTTATCCACACAAATTACAATCTTTTTCGCAAGAAATTCTGAAATTCTGTTTTTTTTGTTCTTATTTGAGACTATTTTTATCAAAAAGTTCAACATATTTACTAAAGGCAAAATAGGTTAAAAATGATGAAACATATTGTCTCTTAATTTAAAATCTAATCGTACCGTTTTAGATAGTGGGGCTCAAACATAAATATTTCCTTTTTTTTTCGCAAGAATTCCCGAAACCCCAGTTACGATGTTCACTTACGTTGTTATATATTACAGGGTACCTTTGTATAATTTAGTTATTCAAGATCTATCTGTTCGTTGAGTAGGCAGTCAGTTTCCTCTTATATTTTACAGATTATTCTCTGTAACCAGATAATTTAATAAGTCTATTTTCATAGAGGTTTTCCGTTTCTAAGAATAATGTTTTCCCAAACCGAGTGATTACTTCAGCTACAATATAATATTTCCAATCTACTGAGAGTTCTTATTTAATTATGATATCAAAATGATATTATTAATTCGCCTTGATTTATTAGTTCACAAGATTGATACTTTACTGAACTAGATGTTATTTTACAGAAGTCTATATCACTGGTTATTTGATTGAAATTATTTTATTTAATTCCGCTACCATTAGTAGGTATATGTGTGACTACCTACTATATATATATATATATATATATATGGTTATGGAACTTCTGGTAGTAATAATGGTAGTCAATCTTCGAGCGTTGTGAGTCACACACATACTAATCGTAGCAGAATTAAATAAAATAACTTTAATCAAATAAGCACAAGCTTAGTGCAAGCCTAAAAGTTTGAGTTTTTAAATTAATCTTTGGTTTATTTAAAAATGGTTGTCATTTATTTCTTGCTTCAGAAGGTATGTATAACCTTCAGTGGCTTTTGTGTATAACAAAATACAATCAGAAATAAATCCAAAGGGCGTGATTCTTATTTAGAGGAATCATTACAGAAGTCTACAATAATTACTAATATTATAAAATGATCAATTGGTTAACCAATCGTTATGAAATTTGGTATACACATATTACTTATTTGGAACAGAATATACCAAGTCACGGATAAAAACTCATAGTATACCAACTTCAGACACAAAGAATCGAACTTTTTTTTCTTTTAAAAATGAACATTTAACTCTATTTCCAGAATTTTAAAGTACATTCTTAATCGTATTAAAAAGTTTGTTTCTTTTTTTAAACAATAGTAAAAAGGCATAAACGGCTTTAAATTTCATTCAGAACACGAGCAATAATGTAGTTCTTGAAACATCTTACAGCTGTTTCTAAGTAGATAGCTACGTTTCTTATTTACTCAAGTCTATGGACTGACCTAATTTTCTGAGCAAAATATGAGGAGAATTTTTAATAACGAAGCATATTCTATACTCGTAACTTGTTTGTTGATATTATAGTATACTAAATGACCCGTAAGACGATGTTTTGCTCTTTACCGTTACCTGTTCACCGGGTTCACTTTTTATTATCGAGATAAAAATATGAAAATATTTTACTAAACAGGATATTATCATGCAGAGATACATATCTAATGATATATCGTTTAGAGGCTAAACATGTGTTGCAACATATGTGAGGGCGGAATAACCGTCGGAGATTGATGACTAATATGGAAGAATGTAGAACTATAAAAGTAGTCAATCCCCAAATTTTAGTAGTAACCCGCTTACTAAAGATAGCAAAATTAAACATAATAATTGTAATCCATGAATCCTAATTATTTATGTCTCAAATTAATGCAAACAACACATAGACATTTATATACATACATACATGTCTATCACGCCTATCTCCCATAATTTTATTACAATCAGTTAAATAATTTTGGACTTTACCTTGATACGGTATATTTTTATATTAGGATTTACTTCTGTATTAGAATAAATTTTCGCGTGGTTCCTTTATATAATAAGCGAAGCCGGGGCGGGTCGCTAGTATTGTATAAACCACGCGAAAATTTTTCCACATTTCTTCCCCGTGGCTTTCGTAAGAGGTAATTAAGGGAACTTAATGATCAAGGGATAGACAGTAGTGTTCTTCTTAAAACATCACCAAAACCAACTGTGGTTACCAACCCCGGGTGGGTTGGTAACCAAGTGTGGCAACTATCGGTTAAACCCCTTTTTAGGGCAGGCTTATATTCAGCAGTGGACAGTTATCAGCTGATATGATAGCGACGATGATTAGAATTAATATCATAACAAGTTAATATTATGATAATGTCCTAAATCTATTTTATTTTTAAATCTTTATTTATACTTGCCTTATTACTATGAATCAAGTGAGCAAGAAATTCAGTGGAGTTTGTCTACTGAAAGTTTGGCTGTGTTTCGGTTTGAAGGGTGGGATATGGCGTGAATTTACATTGTACAGAGGAAAAACACCTGAGTCCTCAGGAATGGCAACGCATGGGGGGTATCATGGGTGAAATAGTATTCTCTGTTATATCCATGGTACTGCTTATGTCTATAGGCGACGGTTACCACTTTCCATCAGGTGGGCCCTCAGCTTGTTTGCCATTCTGAGTTGTATAAAAAATAAGTATACCTATTCTGAACTGAGAAGTAGAATAAAAAAATACTGATGTTTTTTAAGAATACGTTGTGCCTTCTTTTTTATTAATATAATCCGAATTGAATGATTGTTTTATAATCTCTCACAAGACACTCACACTCCGCTATATTGAATTCGATATGATGTAGAAAAAATATGAAAAGATAGAATGTTATTTTTACCACAAGCGAAGCAGTCGACTAATAGCTCTTATGCTTTGGGATTACAGTTTATTTTTACTTTATTGTTTCGAAACATTTCTTATCTAATTCTCTAGAATCATCTCATTCTATAAATATTATAAATGCAAAAGTTCGTAAAGACGGATGGATTACATACTTTTTCACGCAAAAGCTACTGAATAACATAAATAAATATATAACATACATAAAAATAAATTATAATTATATTAAAAATTTTAACCCACCAAAAATACTTTAATTGTGATATAATAAATTCTTTTAAAATTTTTATAAGACCAATCTGTAAATATCATTGGTTTAGAACTAACGGTAATGAGGTAATAAACATAAAAAAATACGACCGAATTAAAAACTTCTTTTTATTTAAAGTAAATTAAAAATGCTTTATGTGCTGATATCACTAGAGTGAAGCCACAGAATATTAGTATATATAGAATTAGTATAGTCTAAATCCAGTTCTTTTAAAGCAATGTTCTGCCGGAGAAATTGAAATATTTTCCATCAAACATGGATCATATTTTCCTAAACTATTATCAACAAACGATAAAAAAATCCCTAACTTGACAGTCAGGTGCGCCGTATTGGTATAGAAGGTATCAACTTGTTATTTATTTCTTTGAAGATATAAAGTTTATTTTCATTTGTAGAACACTCTTTAAAAGGACTATAATAATTTCGGTTACAGCCCCTATAATAATGACTATTACAAAGAAATTATGTGCTATTTATAATAAATACTACTATACCCTCAACCCTTGAAGGGATACCCGTATTTAATGTCAATTGAGCTCACTGAACCATACAATTAAATCATTCAACTAAGATGTGAGTGCTTCACACAGGGTAGGAATATATTGTTGGTAAACAGAAGTTCCCAGATTCAGTTAGTCTACTTTCGTTTTTGTTCTTTCGTTACTATCATGTCACCTAATAAGTATTTCCTACGCTTCCTTAATTGGTCTAAAAGATGAAAGAAAAAGTTATAATAATCAAAATAATTTTTATCAATTCTAAACCGAGTTTGATAATTCATTGGTTGGTTTTGGTTCAATATCAATTTTATGACAGTTGAATCTGCTGTTTTTCTCAGCAAATAGTACCTATTACATTAAAAAAAAATTTTTGAAACTAATGTGTTTATAATTTATCTTCTCATTAAAATACCTATTTTATTTTATCGAATTAATAGCAATAATAACTACTGTACTCCTTATGATATTAATATTAGTAGTATTAGTAACTTAAAAAACTACAGTTAGGTTTTTACGAAATCTTTCTATAAATACTTAAGTTTGAAAATGAGTTTTCATTTTCAAGCTTTATACTGGTAAATGAAAATATGTATATTTTTTTTTAACTTGTACCTTTTTAACAACTATTATAGCTTGGATAATAATAAACATATTTGCATTTTTCGTTCAGATGGCGTCAATGTCCACAACGGACGGCAAACGAGCGAGCTGGTCATCGGCAAAGCAGAACCAAAGCATGCTGGTAACTACACATGTGTACCGGCCAATGCAAAAGCTGCTTCAGTTACAGTTCATGTTGTACAAAGTGAGTATTACTCTTGATCAGTGTTGCTAGACGAGGTTTTTTTATTTCAATCTAAATTTTGATTTTTGTTCAGATTATTACATCGTTTACTTAACTTTTATAATTTATTTACTTTTGTGATTGCACAAATTTCCGTCGTCTTTCATCACTATGTTAGACTTATAATAAAACTTATAAAATAACGTCACTTATTACTTAATGTAATAATTACCGGTTAAACTTGACTAGTTTCGAAATTAATTCGTAATCCTTAATCATATGTGACTGTGACGCGAGTACGAGTCTGACTATGTGCTTCGGCCCGCTGAGCGCAAAGTTGAAATGAAATGAATTTATTTTGCTAGAATGTAGGTAATTTTAGATGATAGAGGTTTGTATTTACCGTGTACATTTTGCCTCTATGTCGGCGTGCAAACTTTTAACAAGATAAGAAATTTTTAAAATGTTAAACCGGCAGTAATTACATTAAAATATAATGTATGCTTACGAAACTTTTAACAATAAAACTTCATCTCTATTCATCAAAGAATTGTACAAAATAGCTTCGTAAGTAATTCAACCTCAAAACAAATGGTTGATTACACAGAATCAACAAATTACAAACAAATACAACATACAAAAGTAAACTTGATGTTATCGACGTTAAGATATCTTATTCAGACTTGGTTCATTTTCTCGAATTAACAGCGCTCGAGTGGCTCTTGACAAAAAGCGAAGATCAAAGAATGTAGCTAATATCTGAGAACAATAATTAAACTACGGGTCAACTAATAATTAAAGTTCCTTTGACAAACTTGCACAATATGCTTCTCTAGTTTTGTGCACTTATAGATATAAAAAAAATTTGCTACCAAGAAGGCGGAGACTATCAATTCGTATATCTTATTTTGTATATATTATACAATATAGCCCTGTGGTTCTCGTATAGAATGGGCTACATCTTCCTTTCTCGTGGGTGTCGTAAGAGACGACTAAGGGAACTTAATGGTAGAGGGATAAACAGCAGCGCCTCTCTTAAAACATTAATAAGGGCTTAATTGGGGTGGCCATCCTACCTGCCAAGTGTGGCAAAACTTTTCTTATGGGGAAGGCTTATGTTCACCAGTGGATAGTTAACGGCTGATATGATGATCATGATGATGTAATATTTTAATAAATTTGATCTGAATTTCGATACTTTTTGCAAATTTTAAAATTTACTTTCCTGTTAGTTTCATATTGCTTTTATTAAATTACTAACGATACAAATAAAATTTCAAAGTTTTTAAAGTACATATTTTTATAAATTAATAATAGTAAATAGTTTCTCACTGGTACTTTCCAAGAGTGCTTAGTAGTTTTTTTTTTTTTATTTACAATCAGCGACAGAATAATAAAAAGCTGACAAGTTAAAAATAAACATTTATGATCAAGTTTATTTAAATTAAGATCATCTTTGTTTCTATATAAAAAAAAAATACTTTTGCAGGAAACTACCATCCTCATATATGGCAAAATAACGTGTAACTATTTCCTTATGTAGAGCGTTAAGATATGATCATAATTGCTGTCAATTTGCGCGAAATTACACACCTGCTACCAATTTATAATTCACAAGTGGTCGGTGATTTCAGACTAAGTAACTGTCATTAAATTTTGATAGCGTCACAGGGAAAGTCACTAAGAGATCAAAATAGATTAGCAAAGCTTCATATTTTCTGACTATTTTCTTAGAGAAACCTTAATTGTAATTTGTAAAAAAAAAAAATGTTAACTCTTTTATATATTTTCCTTTCTTTTGTATTTTTTTCTCTCTTTTGTCAATTGTTATTTGTATGTGATGTTATTTACATTTTACTCACTATCTAATTTGATATAGATTTATGAATAATAGAATAGGTATTCTTAATATATTTTTCTTACTTAAGAGTTTATTAATTAGTTGCTTATTTAAGAGGGGCAACTAATGCATTCTTTACCAGCCAGTTATAATCAATTAAATTTAGTTAATTATTTTTTAATCTATTATAGATACTTTTTAAAAATATTCTCTTTAAATCACAATAGTATGTAAGTACAGAAATGTAATTTTCTCGTTTGAAATCTGCGTATGTAATTCGAGTGTAATTTATATTAATTTTGCAGTACTAAAACATACAAAGAACTGAAAAAAAACTAATACAAACACTGCACCTTCTTATCTGGAGTTCCAAATAAAATTCAAAATATATTTAAAAATACCTTAGGAAAAATAGCGAGTAATATAAATTTTATTTTCTGCTTTTAATAAACATGTAAATGCCAACGTTATATTTTAATTTAGGTGTAATTCAATTTACTGACTTTATAACTATATTATTTCATTTCGACTTAAGTAAACTGAAGTCCAGATGAAAGGACTTTTTGTTTGCAAAAGGTTCATCAAGAGTTTGTCCAGAATAGACGAAAGGGTGAGCGGTCCGATGCTTTTGTGTAAAATTAATTAAGGAGATCTCTCAACGTACATACACATAATGTATATCGTGCATTTAAAAATTAAGACGAATCTTGTGGCAATTTTTTAATAATAAATAAAATAAAACAAAAGTTGGACTAGTCATTTTTGTAGCTTCTAAGTATTTCAAGATATTAATAATTAAATAGATGAAAATCTAGAGAAGTATTCAAAAATAGATGGATGATTTGAATTTGATAGACTGCATAAGGTACAATGACTGAATCGAGATTATATTAAAATAAAATAAAAAAGGACGATGATAATAACTAGATTGTTTCTTTCTCTGAAGGTAATATTTTTCTTTATATCTTAATACCCTTTAAACTAGTAAAAATCAGTAGTTACGAAATATATACTTTTTTTAATAGACAGCATAGTAAATAAATCAGTTACACAACTTTTTTAGAATAAAGCAGTTTTTGCAGTCAACAATATAATTCTTTGCCATTTTCCAACAATTTTTATGTCATAACATAAAAATTTTAGGTTTCTGATTACACTACCATATCCTGTTCTTCCTGTCTTAACGTCCCTTAAACTATCCAAATGTATCAAAATAGTGGCATATATTAAATTCTTATTCTCTTTACCAAAGTTTAACACATTGTTAAGTTTGATACTTAATGTATTTTTTAGACATTATCATATTCTAGTTATTTATTATTTAGATCAAGGAAGGGAATCATAAATGCAAATCCTAGAGTTTCAATCAAATTGGTTGATAGACCTTTCTTTTTGTCTAATTCAGTACATTTATTACTAAATTACATCATTACCACTTACCATTTCAGTCTCAGCATACACGAACAACATTCCGAAAATTTAATGGCGGTGACCCAGTTGTTAGTTTGAAAGCGCGCGGGTAAACAGTTCTTAATAGCTTGCGATAGAAACTGGCGGTTTTACAAGGAATCAAGTATGTAAATTTTCTTTATTCCAAATGCTAAATTGAGTCAGTACAATTGAATCTTGACACATTCCCAGAAGACAAGACTATCAGGCGGATGAAACCGCTGATTATTTGATTCCATTTGATTTGGGATCTGATTCCAGGTAACTAGGAGTGAAAGAAATTTGAATATACTCCAATATTATACAAAACTCTTCGAGGAATTAATTTTTATTTAGTTGTACGGAATATACAAGGAATCTATATTTAAAAACATGTATTTCCTGTACGAGATTCGGAACTCAGTTATTAATAATAGCTACAATATATGTGTCTATTAATATATTGTGTACATTAAGTCCATTTGGGATGGGCTACTTAATTAAACGATTCCCAGAAGGACATGGTTCTCAATTCTTTTATATTCTTATTTTTATGATTGTATTGTACAATTATGTTACCAATTCTGAAACGATTTTCACAATTATTTTACAATCGATAAGATTTGTTCCAATGTTGGTCCTATATTAATTTTGTGATCATTGCAAAAGTTATATATCGTTGCCGAGCAGAAATATGCTCATCGTAAACGCAAAATCTACACGTGAACACGTGATATGGCGTTCTGAATTCAAATATTTACAATGTAAGGTATCTACGAAACATCTCGTGGTTTGCCGGTGTGTTACGAGTATTCACGATAATTCCTTTTATATTTTTTCCCAGGAAAAAAATTACACATTTTATTATTATCTATGAATACAATATACTCTTTTGCTGCTTCACAGCAGAAATAGATACTACTGTGGTTTGGCCAACTGAATTACACAAATCTTTACCACCAGCACATCCTATTAGAGTTTGTGACAGCCATTCCACAATTGTCACATAAGCTCTCAAGTTTCAAATTACGTCCTCTAGTACCAAGTTAGTTTGGAAGACCGTCTCTGGGGCGGAATTGCTTTGTTAAACTACCCTCTAAGTCGCCAACAACAAGATAGTAAATCCGAGAAGTATTTCCCTAGTAATTTTGATGAAATGTTGAATAAAATTAATTGCATGATGAAATACATTTTTCAAGTTTTTATTTGTAGCTTTGTATAAATAGACTTTGAAGGTAACAAAAATATTTTTAATTATTTATTTAATATAATCTGTGTGTATAACTTTATATAAATTCAATGTTTAAAACATTCTTACCTAATAACATAATAAACATATTTCGTACATTATAAGGTCACACATCACCACCGTTATTATGTAATAAAGGCGACCTTTTAGAGTTCATATAAATTATTCTAGCTGGAGATGGGTGTAATGCCCTAAATGTTATGAAAGATCAAAGAGACTTACTGTAATACCAACCTATATGTACTTACTAGCTTTACAAATAATATAATACTATAATCCAGCGTTGCGAATATATCTCTCATTACATACTAAAATAACTTGATGAAAAAAACACGACTGCCGGATTGCATTTGATAGAGACGCCACCGTATAAACATCAGAATGAATTTAAAAAAAAAATATCAATAAAGTATTTCGGAATGACATAAAAATTCTAATGATACATCCAAATTTGTTTAACTGTTTAGAAGTTATGGTGGAGTAAAAAAATTCACATACTTGAGT